AGGGGTGCAAAGTTGTAGGGAGGGACAACATTTTGATTGCCCCTTCACAGTCAGACATTTGTTCAATTCAAAGACTATGCAAAACTTTAGGATTTTCAACAATTGTCATAAAGGGAAATAAGATTTCTAGAGGGGGGGGGGCTATATGCATCTATGAATAAAATCTAGGGGTGGTGGGGGGGCACTGCCATTCTTGACCCCCACCCCTGTATACGCCCTTGAGATGCATGTTGATATCAGATTCCAGACTAAAATGAAGAAAATTAGGAAAAATTTCCTACATTTTCAACACAGGGCAGGTGAAAGGTGATTCCTAGGGAACTAATTTTCATGCAAACACATTTATATTTCTTCATCGCTCAGATAACGTGAAAATTGGACTTTTAAAAATCAATAAACGCAGCCTTCTTCAAACACTGCCGTGCCATCAATGATTCACGAAAAAAATGAGATCAGGCCAACTTTAAACAGTCGTCAAAACGTTGCCCTTGCTAATTTGACCTTAACAATCAAGAAACCAGTTTCTTAGTAATGAATCACTGTGAACTCAACAGAAGGAGAATTTGATGTGAAATGTGGAATGACTTTCTGGCCTCGTAGCTCCTCTTATTTTGATTTTACGCACAAGTATGTGGAAAGAAAATTCATCTTGTTACATATTAGAAGTTCAAAACATATTTGTTCTTCTTAGTGGCTCTTCAATAATAGGAGTTCAATATTCTTTTACTTTAGTTTGGCGTGGGATTTCAAGATTTATAAAGTAGCATAGCACTTGTTACTATTTTAATCCGGATTTTTGTGTAGAAATATGCATGTTTTAGGACACCCTGCAGTGCATGATAATATTTTCTAAGAACGTATACAATATTTATATTTAGGACACCCTGCAGTGCATGATAATATTTTCTAAGAGCGTATACAATATTTATATTTAGGACACCCTGCAGTGCATGATAATATTTTCTAAGAACGTATACAATATTTATATTTAGGACACCCTGCAGTGCATGATAATATTTTCTGAGAACGTATACAATATTTATATTTAGGACACCCTGCAGTGCATGATAATATTTTCTAAGAACGTATACAATATTTATATTTAGGACACCCTGCAGTGCATGATAATATTTTCTAAGAGCGTAGACAATATTTATATTTAGGACACCCTGCAGTGCATGATAATATTTTCTAAGAGCGTATACAATATTTATATTATTTCTATAAAAACTAAAAAATCAATGCAATGGTGAATGGTGTATGATAAATATGCATGCATGTACAAAAAAGAAGTGCATGTACTTTAAGCATAATAGTATGATCAAAATTCAATATAAAAACATCTAAGTAGAGCTAAATGCCCGATTCACGACGGTACCAATTCATCTTAGAACCTTCATCTAACCAATCATTACTTAGGTATTTGAATGCATATAAAATGCACTTTGATTGATAACTTTGAAGCATATTTGCCCTTCTAAAAAAGCATTCTTTCGTTATATTTTGGTCGTTAATTAAAAAATCTAAACTAAGTAGATATTTCAGATTTCAATATGTCGGAGTTAGGCCCAAAGGATTGAGTCTTTGCCACAAACTCAAGTTTTCTAATGTATACCATTGATATTTCAAACTTAGATTATTTGATCTACAGAATTCATACTTTGAAATATCTAAGGTCAATGACATTGGGTTGCAAAGATAAAGGGATAAGAAAATCAGAGTTTGTCGAAACATTTAACCAGGGAAACTCAAACCTTTTTAGCTAATAAGACTTTTCCCTGTTTCTGCCCTGTACATTTTATTACAAATCTTAAGGAAAATCGAACCCAATTTGGTTTCAAGCATTCTCATTGGATTTCTATTGGTAAATTATATTAATGCAAACAATTTCTAACCCTCAAACAATTTTCCATTGATATTTTGCTTGTTTGATTTAGTTTATTGCAAGAATAATGCCGAAAAGAAAATTCTAAGAATTAAAGTAAAACTTCATTAAATTAATTGTGTTCCCAGGGTTATGCATATTTTACCCGCAGAACATAGAAGAGATCATTTTAAATACTAATAAAGCAGAATACTAATAAAGCAGAATACACCAAAATAAAGAGTTACTGAACCAAACAAAAAGCACGAGAGAGAGAGAAAAAATACAAAATAAGAGAAAAGAGAAAAAGAAATTGCTAATAATATTCAAGCAAAAACGTACCAAAAAAGTGTTATACAAGATTACCACAGAAACATAAAAACAAACATAAAGAAGAGTGTAAATAGCGCCAAAAGGCCAACACTCAAACAATACAGAGTATAGAAAAGTAGAAAAGCAGAGGCCTCTTCACTCGGTTCTGATAGCTAGCAGCAGCTGGCAACTGCTAGATGTCCAAATTTTGCTTTTGTTTTTCAAAATTAGCCGACCAGGATGTAAGATGCATGAACAAGAAGAAAATGGAGAACGCGAAATATAGAAATGTCAAAATATAAGCATCTGCTGTCAGCTATTTATAGAATATTGTTAAAATTAAAATTAAGAATTAAATATTTAAGAGCACCAAAAGATAATGACAGGAAACTAACTAGAATACCATGAAAAGGAAAAAACGTAAGAGGTAAGAAACCAAAGTTAAGACCAATAGAATACACCAAATTCCTTAATGTGCAATAAACTCAATTTCGACGGTTGTACAAATGTTAAATGGGTGTTTGCAAACAAACGCTACCAATACTGGACTTGAACCGAAACATGAAATTGAACCCATTTGAACTTATAAATAAATTGGAGCTAGGTAAATGAATTCATTATTTTTTTATTCAGCCGATTTGGTCCAGCCGTTTCGATGGAGATAGAAAAAACAAAGAGACAAGAGAAATATTTGTAAAGAGATTTGTGTAAAAAAAGAAATTGTCCCCATCTACCTCCCCTTTATGTATTAGCTACTTCTCGCGCGCCGCCCTCCCTCCCCTTTTATATCGGAATTGTCAGTAATTGTTTGTAACTTGTAAGCAGCTAGAGCAAGCTAGCTGTGCAGTACAATTACAGACTATGTCATGGCAAACCGGGACAGTTCGCCAAATGAATGATCCTCTATTCAAGTGCTATGAAAGTGGCATGATCCATGTCGTTACAACACATATTGTAAATACATTAAGTCGTACAATCCAGTCTGGCGACCCAGTGTAGGGTCGACCCTGGACGTTTTATGCAAAAAATGCAGCTTGGCTGCAAGATCACAGTGATATTGCCATTTGCTAAGTACAGTGATAACCAGAAAACTCTGAAATAGGAAGACGATTTTATAGCAATACTTAAGTGTATTTGATGTTGTTACAGAGCAAATAGTTATACTTAGCACTTGTTAAATCACAAATAATGTGAAATGGGTCTGTTTACACTGCACACATGCTGTATCAGATGCAAATTGGATTATTCAAAGTAAAAAGTCTAAGTCTAAAAGTCGTCTTCCTATTCCAGAGTTTCTGGTTATCACTGTATGAATCAAGGTTGTATGTAAAATAAGGTTTGTTAATCTATAGATACGCTCCAATATATCGAGAGTATTATACAACCTTAGTATAGACGCATATATAATAATTTTTCAAATTCTCTTCTCATTTAAAATTAAAATTAATCCCGAAAAGAAATAAGTTTCATTACATCGTTATACTTTTTTATGTCTGATATTTTTCTTTTCCAGATTTATATGTTTAACAAATGTCTAAATAAAAATTTTCTAAAAATAAAATCTTAGTCTAAAGAATCTTAAGTATTACTTTCTTATTTACACAAAAATAATGAAGATTGTGAACTAAAGTATTTTATCAAAAAATTGTTTCTTTTTTTGGATTGGAAACACAATTATGAACTTTCTGTATAAAGACTTTTTTATTTCATTTTTATGTAAATTAAAAAATAAACCTCATCAACAGTAGTTGAATCAGGTTTGGTTAGTTTAACCACTTCTTATTCACACTCGACCATAGTATTGAATTCATCTATTTATTAAATCAAACCTTTGAACTATTAATAAGAACTGAACTAGATATTTTTGTAGAAACGGAGAAGAAACTGATCGAAAAACTTATATTTATGCATTTTTAATCTGGCATCAAAAAGATTCTATTTTTAAAATGTAATTAAAAACAAGTCTAAACAAATTTGAAAAATATAAGTATTTTTTTAAATATTATGAATGAATTATTTACAAACTTACAAAAATGGAGAAGATTTAACATAATAAAGTTGATGCTATCCTATTCGTAAATTTACCCCCTAATTGAAGTCTGAGCAGAGAAGAATTTGCAAAGAATTCTTGAAATTAGTTTGGATACGCTTAGGGTACACTCACTTCATTCATCAATACTTTTCTTATAGTTGGCAGTCTTTACAGATATAAAGCATATGCAGTGTACACTGATTATGTACAATAAGAACCAGAAAACTGTAGAAATTGACGACATTACAACAATGATTAAGTGTATTTAATGTTGTTACAAAGCAAATATAGTTTAACTGGTGACTTATACATTCACGTATTGAGTGAAATTAGTCTGTTTACGCTGTGTTTCATTAATGGGTTTAAAAGTCTTTTTTTTTAATTCCCGAGTTTTATGGTTGTTACCGTACAAACGTACATACTGTCATTGTTGTACAGACTACAGAGCATTAACATAATATAACACAGAGTATTAAACATACAAATTATTGTACATAATAACAGCATCAGAAATTCATGTACTAATTATAAATAGCAGATAAGAGAGAAAATATATTTGATTACTATAGGGTTTTAACCCTTTGGCACCTTATATGTTTGTTTTTTTCTACCTAAATGAAATCTGTGCTGTACCCAACGAGGTTAAAGTGTATAGAGTTATGATGTACGCTAATCCTTTACTAATTTTATTGGCCAGAAACTATATCGAGAATGTACTGCATATTTGTTTATTATAAGGAGATTCTGACCTTACCCATAGTTTATTAATATTAGTAAATAGTTGTAAGTGTACAATACAGCTAACTGAGCACACAGGCAGGGATCTATCATCCACCCTGGCTGTACTTAAACAAAGCACTAATCTACAATGTGCATACAGAAATAACCGGAAAACTCTGAATTGATTGTCAACTTCATTCTATCTTTTTTGTTTAAATGTTCTTTGCCCCTTTTTTAGAGATAAATTAGTCAATTAATCAAAACTTCTTAAAAACAATTTATATAAAAAGCACATGTGAGACTTATTCCACTGTTTTCTGGTTTTCACTGTACACCTCTGATGCCTGAGTTCCACTATTAATCTAAAAATGAAATGCACACTGACACTCTCAGCGTAGGATCACTTACCAAAATCCCAGGAAAGAAGTTAAGAAAGAACTTGAATGCATTTCCCCGGTAAAAACCCCTCCTAGCCTGTCTATCAACGGTGAAAAAGGATTCCGAGTATGGCATAATTTTTTGCCGGACTATAGCGGGCGAAATGCCGGGTTGCATGCACTCTAAGTGTACCCTCGTCATGCAAACTCAACTCAGTCCGTCCGAACCTTTGGGAGAATACGGAACCTAACCTACCCGGCCTCAACCCTACTCCGGTAATAGGTGAGAACAATGGATGTTTATCCGTCCCGGAGACAGGACTGAGTATCAGGGTACGTTTAGAGTACACTCTTCTGTGTTGCATGATCCCTGCCTCACTTTATTCACAATATTTGCAAACAAACCTGGCGCCGTCACACACCTTCTTATCAGTTCTTATTTTTGCTTCAATTCGCACAGTTTTATCTGTTTTTGCATCTATGCAAATATTTTTAATCAAGAAAGAAAAAGTCTTCTCCTTCATGAGCTTTCTTTTGGTCAATACATATACAACTAACTTTACATAAGTATACACGTCTAATAAAACTTTTTATTTTTATTTTAAGATATTTTCAAAAACTTTTGCTTAAATAAATCAAACCGTATGAATGACAAATTATCATTAAAAATTTCCTTCCTTCTGTTTTAATTTGATCTTCCATTCTAATATTCCATTCCAAATCTAATTTTCCATTCTAATATTCCATTCCAAATCTAATTTTCCATTCTAATATTCCATTCCAAATCTAATTTTCCATTTTAATACTTCATTCCAAAACTAATATTCACATTTTTGATCGTTATCTTTTAATGTTTTCATTACCAACAAGTTCTAAGTTGTTAATAAAAGGTTAATGTTCAAGAGACTTAAAGTGACCCTCCCAATTAAAGAGTGCAGGCATGCCCGATTTACAACAGCACCCTAAATTTTTTTGTGTCACTAGGGTGAAGGATATTTTCATATTTTTCTATCTGAAAATAAGTTATTTTAAATTTTGAATTCTATATAAAAGTAAATTGCGGATTTACCAGTAGAAACAATGAACAAAATTTTCATCAGAATTTAACACATTTCCAGAAAAAAGACTTAATTTTTCTCTTTTATGCTCAGATTAAGGTTTGAAGGGAACCGTTGGGATTTGGAGATGCCAGTCTTCAAATGGAAGGTTACTTGATATATGACATTTATTCATTCTTTCTAAATAGATAAAATGGACACCAAAGTTACATAGAGATTATAATCTAAACAGTGTATACTTATACATTAAATGTTTTCATCAATATCAATTCCATCCACTATTAAAGGTATTACTGTTGTATATTCAAGTGACCTTCCATTTTAAAGGAGCAAACCCACTTAACATGTTGTATTTTTATGACTGAAACTGTGAAAGATATCATCGTTTGTTAAGCTAAAAAGCGTTAAATTATAGTGAGTTCCTCCAAATTTCTGAAACAGGCATGCGCATGTAAGTTTTTAGAGAAACCACAAATATAATAAACAATTTTCGAAGAGAAAAGAATGAATTAAGAATAAATCCTGTCTTGATCAGACAAAGTTTTAAAGGGTATCTTTTGTGACTGGACGTGCCATGCTATAATTGTGAATTCACTTTACCTGGAGTTGTTTGTTTGTTTTTCTTTTGCAATTTTTTTTTTCTGTATTTTGTATTCATTAATAGCATTCACTTAACAAGATCTATTGTGAAAGGTGCAACTTTAAATATATGTTTGTAAGGAGGGTGCAGAAGGAAGAATAGAAGGTGGGTGGGGGAGGGGGGAGTGTCATTATAACACAAGTTATACCCGCAAACAAAGCATAATTCTTCGGAGTCGACTGTTTGCCATTTCTACTGCCTGTTTCCTTATATTCACAATTATCGACACCTGTACATTTAAATCTTTCTAGGGCAATTATTTAAGCTTTTAAAAACTATTTTTAAGGAAAAATACATAATTATATTCCCTTAGTATATAAAAATAATTTTCATGCTCAAACAACTCTTTGATCTAAAAAGACTGGATTTATATGAATAATTAATTTCAGGTTTAACCTGTTAAAATAATATTTGAACAAGCTCATTAAAATATAGTTGTTCATAGTTTATATTTATTATGTCAAATATAAGTCTGAGATGGATTTGAATATGTCAAGGAAGGATATGTAAAAGAAGGATAGGCCAAGAAACGATATGTCAAGGAAGGATAAGCCAAGAAAAGATATGTCAAGGAAGGATATGTCGAAAGTTATGTCAAATATGCATATTTCAAGGAAGGATATGACAAGGAGGATATGTTATGGAAACATATGTCAAGGAAGTATGTTTCAAGGGAAGATATTTCAAGGAAGGTTATGTCAAGGAAAGATATGTCAAGAAAGGTTTACATGTCAAGGAAGAATATGTCAAGGAAGGATATGTCAAGGAAAGATATTTCAAAAAAGGTTTACATGTCAAGGAAGAATATTTCAAGGAATGATATGGCAAGGAAAGATTTTTCAAGGAAGGATATTTTAAGGAAAAATATGTCCAGGAAGGATATGTCAAGGAAGGATATGTCAAGGAAGAATATGTCCAGGAAGGATATGTCAAAGAAGGATATGTCAAGGAAGAATATGTCAAAGGAAGGATATGTCAAGGAAAGATATGTCAAGAAAGGTTTACATGTCAAGGAAGAATATTTCAAGGAATGATATTTCAAGGAAAGATTTTTCAAGGAGGGATATTTTAAGGAAGATATGACAAGGAAGGATATGTCAAGGAAAAATATGTCCAGGAAGGATATGTCAAAGAAGGATATGTCAAGGAAGAATATGTCAAATGAAGGATATGTCAAGGAAAGATATGTCAAGAAAGGTTTACATGTCAAGGAAGAATATGTCAAGGAAGGATATGTCAAGGAAGGATATGCCAAGGAAGAATATATCAAGGAAGGATATGTCAAGGAAGGATATGTCAAAGAAGAATATATCAATGAAGGATATGTCAAGGAAGAATGTTTTAAGGAAGAATATGTCAAGGAAGGATATGTCAAGAAAAGATATTTCAAAGAAGAATATTTCAAGGAAGATATGTCAGGGAATGATATGTAAAGAATTAGGAAAGTCAAGAAAAGATTATCAATCAATGTTGTTGTATTGTACAAATGTTAGGGAATTGTATGAGTATTGTACAGATGTTAGGGAAATGAATGAGTACTGTACAAATGTTAGAGAAATGTATGAGTATTGTAGAAATGTTAGGAGAATGTATGAGTATTGTACAGATGTTAGGGAAATGTATGAGTATTGTACAAATGTTAGGGATATGTATGAGTATTGTACAGATGTTAGGGAAATGAATGGATATTTAAGAAAGGGTAAATACATATTTACGAACGCGTATCTTTGTATTATATATTGTATGTAATATATATATGTAAGTATGTATTTGCTCTTTTACTTGAATGTTAGATATGCCTCACTTGTCCTCTGTCCCACAATAACTCAAGGCAAAGCAGAATAAAAACCTAAATATTAAAATCTAGATATTCCGACTAACTAACCCACTTTTATTTTCAAAGCTTACCATTATTACTCAAGTATAAAACGTGTTATAGCAAGATACTAAAAACGTTTTTACTATTTTAACATATCTAATCATGTAAGATGGCAGCACTACATACAAAGCCGTGAACCACCAAGCATATAAACTATACAACTCTAGAAAAAACAATGCTTCAAGTATGTTGTATAAGGCACTGCAGCCTACAGGCCATATAGGCATCTGGGCACGCAACATCTCTTCCATGCAGCGATCTTTTTATGTAAAGTTAATTTTCAACTTTTTACGTGAAATTTTTGAGGAAAAAGTTAGGACTTGACAGTTTTAGATTGAAAACATAATTTCCAGGTTTCTTACACACGTTCACCTTCACAGATATTTTAGGGTTTAAATATTTAACCATCGTTTTCCATACTTCAAAATCTTTTTCCATTCTTCCAAATATTCTTTTCTATCCTTCTTTCAGGATCTTACCCCTTCCTACCCCCCTTCTCCTTTCTTCATCAATGATCTAAACTGCCCCTTCTCCTTCCATCATGATCTAAACCCTTCCTTCCCTTTCTTCACTAAAAATCTAAACCCATCCTTCTCCTTCCTTCACTAAAAATCTAAACCCATCCTTCTCCTTCTTTCACTAAAGATCTAAACCCATCCTTCTCCTTCCTTCACTAAAGATCTAAACCCATCCTTATCCTTCCTTCACTAAAGATCTAAACCCATCCTTCTACTTCCTTCACTAAAGATATAAACCCATTCTTCTCCTTCTTTCACTAAAGATCTAAACCCATCCTTCTCCTTCCTTCACTAAAGATATAAACCCATTCTTCTCCTTCCTTCACTAAAGATCTAAACCTATCCTTCTCTTTCTTTCCTTCATTTACAATCTTCATTAATGATCTAAATTACCTCCTTCCCTCCTTTTCTTTAATAAATGCAGTTTTGGCAATAACTCCGTCATTTCCTTCTTCCTCTTTCTGCTTTCTATATTTTTAATGAAATCATTATTTTTAATCCTCCCCCCTTTCTTGACAGGGGCATTTAAAGAGGACCAGCCCCGAGAGACCCCCCCCCCCACGAGATTAAATCCTACATGAACGTCCCTGTCTCTGACCTGAAAATCTTAATTAGCCTCAAGTTACTGAAAAATATAATTAAAGCAATGTTTCTTGTTCCTTGAATTCTCTAGAATTTGTAAAATATTATTATACTTGTAAAAACATTGAACTCGGTGTTAACAATATTTAATGAGCTGGGCGTTGTGAATAGAGCTGGACAAAATTCCGTTAACGAGTGGAAGTTTAGTGATCATTTCCGGATACGAGCTGAGGAACCGTTTGATTATTTAGCGAACACGATCAGTTTCTTTAATTAATGTGAATTTAAATAACTATTAAAGATTGGAATGAAAAATTTATCAATGTACCTACTGTCCGAGCCCAGCCCTAGTGGTAAAACACTGTCCTAGCCCAGCCCTAGTGGTAAGACACTGTGCGAGCCCAGCCCTAGTGGTAAAGCACTGTCCGAGCCCAGCCCTAGTGGTAAAACACTGTTTTTAGGATCTTACAGTTTTATCTGTGCAGTAAAAAATAAGGAAGGTTTAACCCCGCTATACCCAGGGATATCTTTATTATTCAAAACTGGGAAAGATTTAAAAATATCATAATTTACAATTTCATGTCCTAATAAAGAAATCGTAACCAC